GGCCTTCACGATCCCCTGATGTAAACCCAATAAAACATCTGTGGGACATTATGTTTCGGTCCATTAGGCGGCGCCAGGTTGCTCCTCAGACTGTACAAGAGCTCAGGGATGCCCTCACACAGATCTGGGAGGAAATGCCACAAGACACCATCCGTTGTCTCATTAGGAGCATGCCCCGACATTGTCAAGCATGCACACAAGCTTGTGGGGGCCACACAAGATACTGAAAAGCAATTTCAGTTGTAGAAATGAAGTTTTTGAAATGATGGACTAGCCTGCCACATCTTCATTTCACTCCGATTTTAGGCTGTCTACACAACTGAGCCCTCTGTAGGCTGATAACTTTTATTTCCATTAAAAGAGTTGGCATCCTTTTGTTCCTAAGACATTGCCCTGTCGCTATTTGTATAGATATCCAACTTCATATTGAGATCTGATGTATCTAATGTGTTTCTTTAAAGTGTTCCTTTAATTCTTGTGAGCAGTATATATATATATATATATATATATATATATATATATATATATATATATATATATATATATATAAACATATATATATATATATATATAAACATATATATATATATATATATATATATATATATATAAACATATATATATATATATATATATATATATATATATATATATATATAAACATATATATATATATATATATGTGTATACATATTCTTGGTAAATTGCTGTGATCATTCTGCATTTAACATATTTTAATTTAAGTTTAAATGAATTAATGGGTTTTGGGCTGAAAAGGGATCAATCTCCTGCTTTAACATTAAAACATCGTGACAGTGGCTTTGTTTTTATTTATTTATTTTTTCATATAAATAAAAGGGACAGAGATTTATAATAGGTATCTCTTTCTGCTCTTTTTCATTCTTGGTTGTGTTTAGCTGCATGTTTTGTGTTTTCTCTTCAGAGCTACTAGCTGAAACATGTAAGGTAAATAAACAATTTTTACTAAACTGTGAAAGAAAATAACTAAAACATGGATTGCGGACCTAAACACAGTATGAGCGCACATAAGACATTGTTTAGCAGTTTATATTTTTATCAGTTGTGCTCTGCTTTCGTTAGACAGTACTACATCACTATTAAATATGTTTTTATGCTCAAATATTTTGAGGGGACAACTTTATGCAAGGGGGCTGTCCCCCATGGGATTTCCATGTATGTTGCATCAATTACAGCAGGTGGTCCTGAGGCTGCAGCACAGCCCCAGACCATCACACTACTACCACCATGTTTGAGTGTTGGTATGATGATGTTCAGATGGACACCGACATCTGTTTGCTGCGCTCAATAATAACACTATTCTAGAAACCTTCTTTTATTACAGCAAATAAAAAGAAAATGTGCAACAAAATTAGATGTACCTTTGCTGTGTTGATAAAAATCCACAGATATTAAAGTTTTTATGAAATCTGTTATCGTCACTGCAAGGAGCAGAAATGAAAAACTGCACAATGGCTAAGGGTGAGAGGAAAGAGGGACTGTGATAGGAATTAATGAACAACAATGCAGAGGTGAACACCAGAGGGATGGAAACGAGATGAGAGGAAGGCAGAATATACAGAACCTAATCCAACTTGTCCTTCCAAATATGGATTAGACATATTTTTGTCTACTTGTTTGTACTTTAGACCAGTGAAGCTGCTTTATGCCGGAGTTCTGTTGTGTGTTTTGTTGTTGCAGAACTTTACACACAAAGAAAACATAGTTGAGTTAAGGGAATTATCTGCTGAGAGTGATCACTAAACACTTTACAGCACTCTACAGACAACATCCCAAAGCACACTCATGTTTACAGTCAGATGAATGATAACTCTCATCCCTATGTCTGCTTAGTGTTGCTCACTGCAGGTAAACTCTGCCTCTGTCTGAATAAAAAGCTCACATTATTACAATAAAACCCCATTTTTGGTAATCAGGCTCAGAGCTGCTGACAGACTGTATGCTAATCACTCACTAGCTGTAGCAAGAAATAATTTGTGCAGTGGAGCACTCAGAGGAAGACCTGGTTATAATAGTGCAGCTGAATGTTGTGTGGCAGGAAAATGTCTGGGTTAATGGAAACTTTTAGTCCTCATTAGAATTTTGCCGTGATATTTTATCTGTCAGTGTCAAAAAAGACATTTTTTCATCTGGAAACACTAAAACTGTACATCTGTACATGTTAAAGGATAATGATTGAGTCTTAAAACAGATCTTCAACAATAAAGCTGCTTCATTAAGTTTCTGTGATTCTCAGTCTGATTTGTCAGTCACCAAAACCAGAAATGTCAGTTTTTAAAAGTTTTTAAAAGCGTTCTTGACACAGGAATGGTCCTGGCAGGACGACAATGTTGTCTTCTCGTTGAAGTTGTCACATTGAGGGTGTGGATGACCGGCAGACCATGTTTGGTGGAGCAGATCAGGAGGCAGGAATGCAGGCACGGATAAAAATAAAAATGGTTTTAATGGCAGAGCGTGAACGACAGAACAAAACGCTGACCACAAACAATGATCCGACCAAGACTCAAACAAGACGGGAGGTATAAATACACAGGGGAAAATCAGGAACACATGGGCAGGTTAACAAGGGGCAGGTGAGACAAAAACTAATCAAGGGCAGGGGAGAGACACAGTCAGGGAGGCAGGAGCAGATTGTGACAGGAGTGTGTGAAAATCCCCTAAACGGAGTCAAGATCATATCTACAGAGGCTGCTGTAAAACTATTTATTGTGTCATTATTTTTTCTAAGAAAACAAAGAAACGTTTTACATACCGAAACAAAAGTTAGTACATAAAGCAGAATCAGTTTTCAGACAGAGAGCTTAAATGACTGTACAGGACTGATTTCAGTCATCACTTTTGGTTGAGCTTTAGCAGGGGGAAGCTTAGGGGGCTGGGGGCCCCCTGTAGGGCCACCCCTGTTGTCAACCCAGTATTATCAGAGGGGCTATGCCCTCTCTTTTGCTAAAATCTCTAGTAAAATAAAACACTAAATCACTGTTACCTTTAGTTGTCTGGTTGTGTAAAGTTTCAGTATTTATGAGCAAATGCAGGAAAAAGTGTCAGTTTAAATGTGAGTTTATTTCACTGGATACTGAACTGGAACAGACTTTAGAGGCAGCAGAGTGGATATCTCATTATAGACCAGCTGTGTTGATATTTAAGGGCTGTAACTGGTGCAGATGGACACTGAACCTGTTAGTTTAACATCAGAGATTAGAGATTAACACAAAGTAGGGTAAATATGAACTGTACGACAAAAACGGAGCCCTAAAAGAGTCTGTTTCATGTTTCAGCGCTGTTGCTGAACATTAACATGAAAATCCAAATACTTTATTTTCTCCAACAATTTCTTGAAATCACATTTCTTTTCCTTTTTCTCAAATAAATCCTTCAGATGGAGCTGGTGCATTAATTCATGATTCACAAAAGAAGTGCGAAAGTGACCTTTGTGTGTGTGTGTGTGTGTGTGTGTGTGTGTGTGTGTGTGTGTGTGTGTGTGTGTGTGTGTGTGTGTGTGTGTGTGTGTGTGTGTGTGTGTGCGCGTGCGTGCATGCGTGCATGCGTGCGTGAACATATATGCAGTAATGATGACACTACATCACACCCTGCCAGCTGGCACCTTCAGATATCCTGTCCTGCAGTTCTGAGGTCTGCCTCCACATATCTACGGTTTTCCTGTGATTCCTTGTGGATAAACAAGCATCTCTCCCCCCGGAGCTACGAACCTGCCAACAGTCGCTCTGCTTTGTCCACATCCGTTCATTCATCAACAAACCTTTTCTTCTTCTATAATTACGTTCTCTTCTCTTAAATAAAAATAAGATAAAAATCTCTGAGCACAACAGCCATTTTAATCAGTCTGACATTGATTCAAAACCAACAGACGAGGTTTTTAATAACTTAGACTCATATTAGTATGAGACACGTCTGTGCTGCTGATATCCACACTGCTTTGAGAAGGTCAGCACGCATTTTGATCAGAATGAACTCAGGCGTTACCTGAATGGCCTCTGGGCTTTACTATCTGTCAGAGAGAACATAAAACGTTTGTTTCCTTTCACACACACACAGGCTAATGGAGGTATTTAGACTCACCCAAGTGTGTTCTTGTATAACTGAAGCCTTTTTAGAGAGGAGAAAAACAAGCTGGATGATTATAATCAAACCTATCCACAACATTTTGTTTGTAGAACTTTTGTGCAAACCCTTTACAAACATGTCACAAATTAGCTGTGCAGAATCACACCAAGACTTTATTTTACTTTATTTTATTACTCTGATATTTTCTGGGGTTTAAGAAGGTTCACTAAGTTAGTTTAATGTCTGGGTTCTGGTTAGAAGGATGTCAGATCTGTTTGAGACACAAGTCTCCTGACCACCTCACCACCCACTGGTACCAACGGGGCTAAAGCAGGTTCCAGCAACTTAAAATCTCTTTTTCTACAACTGCTTTTTGTTCTTGTACAGTTCTACATCCTTCTGTCCAAAACAAGAGCAAACTACTGGGATGGTTTTGATCTAGTGTAAAAAAAACACTGATCAATAAACCTCAACATTAAAGAATTTTTTGACACCATTCCTTCAGAAGTGTTGTACGTGGGTTTGTAAGCTTTGATCTAAGTTTGAAACACATTTATTTGTGATTCTTTGTCCTTGAACTTGGTGCAGATGGGTTACAACTTATCATATTTCTCACAGATCAGGAACACAATAACAGTGAACATCAGCTAAGCTACTTCGGGATTGAACATGACACTGGAATGGGTGAAATTCTGCATATTTCAGGCTAAAAGCAGGACTGTTTTCAAACTTTTAACCAGGAGAAAAACGTCAGTAGAGTACTTCTGCTTAGCTGCACAAATATCAGTTTCAAAAATGTGATTTGAAATTGTAATTGAACCCACTTGTTCTGATGTCTGATCTGTTCTGTTGACTTTCACTCATCTGTCTCTGCTACTCTTCTGTCCCATCTCTGTTAGAGTAAAGATGCCGGCATCAGGACTCTGGTCATGTTGGACGAGCAGGGAGGTAAGTTTGTAGCAGAGCAGCGCCGCATTAACCCGCTTGCCGCTGCAGCCGTCACATCAGAGTTAGGAGTGTTTTAGTTCTGGAGCTAACAGCAGAGCAGCAGATTTCCCCCATCAGCATCAGTCATGTCCTCAAAATGAACACTAGCTAGAGTCTTTGCAAATGTGGCTAACAGGATTATGCTGCATGTTGCTTTACCTCATAAAGCTTTTCTTCTTATCCATCAGAAAAGGAGATTTGCACTGTGTTTCGCTACATACACCCATGCACATAAGGGAGTTTTAAGTCAGACTATGGATGAATTTAGATTTGAATCCCTCATTTTTCTCACAAGACAATCTGCAGAGGATCCATGTTCACCAACAGATGTTAGACAAGTAGAGCTTTGCTAGTCACTTTTAAATTCAACACACATCTCACTGTATAACTCAGCAGACACACACCTGGTTTAAAATCATCGTTTGGTGTATTTGATAATCTGATCGCTCTTACTGGATAATTCTGCAAACAAAGACATTTCTATAAGGCGTTGGCTGATACTAGCCGTTTATTTATTGGCCTGATGCTGTTATAGTGGGCTGTTATGTGACATGTCATTATTTGATTCCTTATAAAGAACACATTTCCAAACAGAATGTCATGAAAAAGCTTACTGGTGTAGAAGACGGTCTAAAAGGTATTAGCGGGCTAGTTTAGTGTAAGGAGCTGTGCAAAAGTTTACACCCAGTTTCTGACAAAAATACTGTTTTTAAAGAGGAAATGTTCTAAAACTATAGGAAAACTCAAAAATGCTTGTGTTTTGCTCATAAAAATGCAAAAACTCAGCCTCACCCCTTGAGTGATATTTATTTTATCTACATTTTTTGTTAGCTTTTGTGCAGCTGTGTACCAAATAAAACTAAGCAGTCGGGCCCGACCGATATAGGGGTCATTAACACTATCGGCTATCGGCCAAAAAGACGGCCGATATGGCCGATATTGCGCTACCTATCCAGCAGATGGCGCCAGCTTCATGAACTCATGTTCTATTTCGTCTAGTCTTAGCCCGTAAGCGAGCTGCTATTGGAAGGATGATCTCCGCATCAGCCAATCATGAAGCGCTTCAATGTACGCCCACTAATAGTGGGCCCCCTTGTGGGTATATAAGTGGAGCGACTCCACTGTTCGCCTCCTTTTTCTCTTCATGCCAAGCCTGAGAGCTTCTCTAAAGAGCAATTATCAAGAAGATTTGACTCACCAGCATGTCCAGCGATGCCAGAACCTGCCCGGCCTGCCAGACGGGCTCCATTTCCAGCGTTGACCTGCACGCCAAATGCGAGGTCTGTCTCGGGGTTCATCATGCTGGCCTGGCCTTGACCCCCCAGGCCTCGTGCCCGTTTTGTGCCGCTCTGCCTGTGGCTGAGAAGATCCGCCGGGTCGAGTGCTTCACTCCCGCCGCCGACGAGGAATTCCCGGTGGCTGAGGCGTATTCGCTGGACAAGGCTTTGGACTTCTTCAACGCCGGTCAGGAGCCGGCTGACTTCAACCGGCTGGTGGACGTCACCGACAGCGAGGACTACGACGAGGCTAGCCGCCTTAGCCATTCCTCCCTCCTAGACAACACGGAGGTCGACGAGCCTGGCTCAGCGGGTCTTCCTGCCCCAGCGGCTTCTCGCTTCTCCCTACCAGCAGTAAGAGCACTGCTCCAGGAGCTGCCCACCATCATCTCCACGGCTGTGGTCCGCAAGGGGCTAGCCGTTCCAGAACCGACCCCGCCCGAAGCGGATGACTTGCGGGAATTTTCGGGACAACTCAGACGCGCTGTCCAGACCCTATCTGGCCGCGCTTCCCCTCTGCTATGGGCTGCTGGTCCGCCGCCTTCACCGAGCCTGCAAAGCTCAAGGCGCCAGTTTCCACCGCGGCGGCACAGTACGCGGCTCCGTCCGCGGGCACTTTGCCGTCCCCGTGTATGGTCCCGGCTCCCACACGCCCTGCTCCTTTGGTCTCCACACCATGCGGTGAGGATCAGCCTCTTCCAGCTGGTTCACCAAGGTCCAGGGCTGTCCGTCTGTTCCTCCACTCTAGCCGGACTTGGCCTCGCTGTTTGGCACCAAGAACCACCTCACTGGCCCGCGAGCAGTTCCCACTTCGAAACATGACCAGCTGCTGACACGGCTCACCGACCGCGCACACCAGTGTGCCTTTCAGACCGGCGCTGCAGGGAATAACATCGCCCTTCTCGCCAGTGCTGGACTGACCATAGGGCATAGCGGGCAACTGCCCGCTGGGCCGACCCTTTCATCTTTTATGGGCCGGTGTCTGTTTTTTTTTTTTTTTCCTGGCCTCTAGTTGTTGCGGACAACTTGTCCGCGCCGCCCCACGCGACGCCTCGTAAAAGTTGGTGGATTGGCCAATTGGTAATAATACACTCTGGGCTGGACCAATAGCCAGAGGTCTGATGCACCCGCTAGTTGTTTGTGAATCTCAGTAAACAGACAAGACGAGCTTAACAAAATGGAGAACAAAAAACGGAAAGGAGGAGCCGAGAAAATTCGACTAAAAAAGAAACTGGCCCTTCAGGCTGATGCTGGCACATGTGTTAAAATCTCACAGTTGTTTGGTAGTGAAGGTTCAAGTAAAATCAATTTAGGAAGTGATGGAGCCTCAGCCCAGCGACAGGTTGGAGAAGAAAAGAGGGAGGAGGAGGAGAAACCCGAGCCGGTGTTGTGCCATAAATTGACTCGCTGCCAAAAAATGATTAGCCACCGCGGGATCGCGCACGGTTAGGTAATTGCATTTCTAGACAAAATTCCCCAGGATTTCGCCCTAAAACTCAGCATATCTAGCAATATGGACATTCAGAAAGCAAAGATAACCTCTTCCGGTACTTAAACAGATGTTTATCGCGGATATTAGTGTGGCAGTGTTTGTGGCACCCTGCGCGGGAGCACGAGGACGTGCTTGTGGAAAGAGGGAGGAAGATGTGGCAGTGTGAGCATCCACAATGTCCCGATTGATGATGCGCCCTGGCTATTCGGCTAAAGAGATGTACCTTTGGCTGACTGGTTAGAGCGTATGACTCTCACCCGGGAGTCTGGGGATCGAATCCCGCCCGGGCACTCCTTTCTGCACCTTGCCACATTAGTTTTTCCAGTTCGGAAGTTGTTTTAAGTGTTGCTATTTGTCTTAAACGTTCACAATGAGGATATATTAATCCTTTTTGCAATATTTGCGATTGAAAGATGGTTTGTGGTAAGAACTGGCTTTCTTTATGTTACAGCCTTGATACTAAAAAAATAAATAAACAATGTAAAATGGTACCCTGTATTGAATGTAAACGTTGTATAAATGGAAATAAACAATTCTCCAGCGATTTAATTTTTTCCCCTTCCTTTCTTTAGTCCACTTGACATGGAGCCACAGTTAACTAGTTTGGGGCACATTTTTACTTGAAAAAAAGTATTTAAAATGATCAAGCTTTGGCTTTACAATGACACTGTGTAAGTTGCTATTCATTACGTTGCTCTATTTAAAAGTAACAAGATAAAAGCACTTCAGCACATAAAATTAAGATTGTCACTTGCCAAATAGACTACACCCTCCCGTTTACCTATAAGAAATGCCTCAAAATATCTTTAAATTCTTTATTGATGATTTAATTGTAGACAAATAAAATGGCATTTTACTTGCCAAAAAGTGATTGAATCACTAAGATTTTCATGGAGGCTAAAATTGACCAAATAAGGGTTTTATGTATTATCTGTTGATGTTACTGTACTCATACTGCCTACTGTGTCATCAAAAACACCCCAAAAATGGCAAAAAAAAGAAAAAAAAAAAAAGAAAAGAAGATAATTTCCCTTGCCAAAAATTGATTACAGTGTCCTGGTCACCTGTAAAGGGTTACATTTACCTAAATATTACTTTATTTATTATTTCTTGATGTTATTGGTGCCATCACAGGATGCCGGGTGTCTTTCACATTCATAAACACCTCAAAAATGGCAACAAATGATCACTTCCCTTGCCAAAAATTGATTACAGTGTCCTGGTCACGTGTAAAGGGTTAAATTGACCTAAATATTACCTTATTTATTATCTCTTGATGTTATTAGTGCCATCACAGGATGCTGGGTGTCTTCCACATTCATAAACACAGAGTCCTGGTCACCCATAAAGGCTTAAATTGGCATAAATATTACTTCATTTATTATGATGCTGGGTGTGTTCCACAATCATATTCGAATAAACGTGAAAATATTCTGTCCGAATATCTGTTTCTTGTTATAAATATAACAGCTAGAAGGATTTACAGTTAAAATAGGAGAAACACGTGACTCCCCAGGAAGGGTCGTAACACCACTTGCCTCACGCACATAAGTGAACAAAACAAAGCAGCATGGAGACACTCCGTCTCCAACCACCTCTCAGGCAGCAGCCTGCACTCCCAAGTTCTACACGTCACCAGAACATAAACAACCGCAACACAATAAAAGCAGTGTTATACAAAATGGAAGGCCTGTAGTGTTTATTCTCTTACAGTAACGACTTATCAATTTTTGGGAGGAATTTAGTTGAGAATTTTTTGGTTTTTATTAATTGTGCAATAGAAAAGTAATCGCTAGATTAATCATCTAAATAGTCATTAGAATAGTCGACTATTCGATAAAATAATCGTCAGAATAATCATTTTAAAAATAATCAGTTACCCCCAACCCTACTTTTTAGAATACCAGGATAGGAAGGATGGTGTAGGTTTACGTTTATTAGATTGATACATAAATACTACCAATAAGAAAGTGTACGTTGGTGTATGTCAGAAACAGCGTAAGGCTTAATGTCTTTTCCAAAAAAAACAGGTGATGGGCCGGTCTCCAATCAAAATGCCCGGGCTGAATTTTTGTCCCAGTCCAGCCCTGCTTCTCGCCTTCGGCGTTTCGAAGATGATGGAGGAGCTGGACGCTCCCGACGAGTCGAAGACCGCCATCATTAAAACTACTGATGCTATCCTCAATCTATGC